CCAATCCCACAACAACCTCCTCTCACAGTTCTGTCCCAGCCACACACCTTAGGGCAGTCAACATCAGTGTCCAAATCTTCTAAATGTTGGTCTCACAGTGGTGTGCAAGTGCAGAGTCTGAGAACCAAGGTGGCCAACAGTGGAAAATAATGTATTATAAAAGTTCAGTCATCAAGTTTTACAAATCTCAGAAAGAAGAAAAACCTACTTTTGTGATAAATTATGAAAGTGATAAAAAATACATGTGTTTCTCTTTAGATTTATTTTTTTTTTTTACATCTATTCAGTGTGATAGAGCAAATGATTTCCAGCATGGAAAAGAAAAATTGTATTTTTTTCATATTAGTCTTGCTCTGTTGTACTCCATGACTTCTCATAACATAATAAATTTAGCAAAAAAGATGTAGGTGATTTAAAAAGAAAAAAAAAATGCCACAACACTCTCTACAAAGTTGTTGTTCAGTTTTATAAAGTTGCAAGAAGAGAAAGAAGTTGGGAGATGTGCTGGTGAGGTGGGAATGTTTGCCGAGGAAAGCGAAAGATCTGGAGAGTGTCGACTGTTTTTCGGCCTGTCTTAATATTGGTTTTACTCATTGTTTCTCCTTTCTTCCCTCTTGTTCCGGTAGTTCTCTTTTCTCCCTTTAGTTAAGAAGCCCTAGCCCACTATTTTTCCAGAAATGGACATCCAGAGATAAATAACAGTGGGAAGTGCTCCTGTGGTGCTTTCTTTTCTAATGCTCTCTGATCTTCATTTGTTTTCCCCTTGGTAAATCCTTGAAGTTGTTACACATTGTCTGTGTGGTACCATTGGTAGATTTCTCTTTGAAACTCTTGCCTGGTTTCCCCTTGCACCCATTTCTTGTATCCAAAATAACCTTTGGCAAGAAATTTCACGGATTTACAGCTCAGCACACCAGGGCCAAAAATCCATGCTTTTGCAATTGGCCTCAATCTGCTGAGTTTAGTGGAAAGGCACCATTTGATTGAAGAAAAGCAAAGGCTGTACAGTAACACCATGAGTTTCATCATGGAGGCATGCCTACCATATGAAGTTATGCCTGTTAATGTTATATTTTGTTAATTATACATGAAATAGCTGCAGTACATAAATAGGAAAACATGCTGAAATAAAATGAATTTGAGATAATATTTAGGCAAATGCTTTCTTAATAGAAAAACTTCTAAATTTCATGTGTTTCCTTGTTATGTCATTGAGTTTTAGGGACTTAATGGTTGTCTCAAAATGGTGTACAGTGATAGTCTTAATACGGAAGGTGTGTGCTTGTTTTCTTTCTCTCTCTGATAGTTCTGTTTGTTTCCTCTTTATTTAGGAAGAATAGAGTGGTGCAGGCAGGATGTGTTGTGCTGACTATAACAAAATCTGAGAGGTGCTTATTGAAAGTACCGTGTTTATTTCCAGTCAAGTGTTACATCAAATGTGTAGAACTCCTTCAGCCTTCCCACTCAAGTAATTTTGTCATTGTTATTTCTTCATCATTCCTATCAAAGGGCCAAATTTTGCCCTCTAATGTCTAAGCAGTTTGTCCTTTGAATTCAAAGGAAGCACACATACAGTGTTGGAGGTGAATGTTTCATCCAAGCACGGTAAGTGCCTTTGTGCAGGCTCTGCATATTGCTCACTTAGATGGCTAAGGTGTGTGTTTTTCAGCTTGGCCGAAGGAGGGAAGAATTTATTTGCTTCATTTATTCTTTAATAAGATTCATTCACCATGATATATTCTATGCATTAATCTGGAATCTGGAAAATCGGAGTCCCTGGTCTGTCACAAACTGTCTTAGGCAAATCATTAAATTTCAAAGTGTCTCATTTATGATACTTGCAAAAATTGAGTTGATCTGTTTGTTCGTTTCAATTGCAAATAGGTCAGGGGCTGTCTGCTGCAAGTTTTTGTCTATGAAATCTTTTCTGATACCACTGTGTTTTTTTTGCTAAAATTGCTTGATTCTACTAGAATGCAAATATTAAATTATATTTAAAATTATATGTATTTAAATCCTTCGACATGAGGATCCAGGACAGTTAGCAAATGGAACAATCTGTGATTTATCTATGCCTTGATTAATTTTAATCATAGCTATTTCTTAATTTTGAATTCTCTAACAATTAGGATAAATTTTGCTTCTAATGAAGATACAACTGCTCAGCTGGAATGGGATTATGGTAATTATTAGATTTGCAAAGAAATTGGTTTCCTAAGCTCTTGGGTTAGTTATCTGACCAAAAACAAGATCAATGTTGTTGGTGCTAATTAAAGCAAATAGACTAAGGAATAAAAAAGGTTTAATTCTGAATTTATGAATATCATTAAAAGCTTACATGGCTAGCTTGACTTGTGTTTTGTGCATTGTTGGGGGAAGAAAAACTGTCTGCATTTGTAAGACAAGTAGAAATGAGAAGTGACCTTCAACTTCGTAAAACCTTTAAAAGGAAACTGTTTTAAGGGAATAAATATGGCTAAGCCTCTGATACAGGCCTTTGGCAAACCACAAATGACTAGTGATTAGCTCTACTCAGTTGGGTTAATTAATAAAAGGTATCTTACAATAGGCACAAAGAATATTTGTCCATTACACTGATGATGTAAATTATGGTAATAACACAGTACTGTTCTTTTTACCTTTTTAAAAAGCTTTATTAACATCAGATGTTTCTTGTCGCCAGCACCCCTGTGATGTGAATATAACTACTGCTGTTGTACAGTTGACATAAATGAATGTTTATCAGCAAATAGCAGGTAGAAGCAAAGACAATATGTTGAAGGCAAGGGCAGGCACGATCAAAGCACAAATATAAGCAAATCTGCTCTTACAGGCAAAATTCATATCTATGACCATAGAGCTGTTGAACCACTGTGTTTCTCCTGCAGCCTCTGGGATGAAGCTCTTGGGGAGCTGCTGGTTCAAAGGAGCTGGAACTGTTCTGCAGATTGTAGCTGGGTTCAGATCGTGCACCAGCCAGTCCTGTTTGTGCCGTCCTGTAGGCTGCTCTCTTGATTTCTTCAGTATCGACCCAAAGCCTCTAGATCTTTCTTCATCATTGCCGAGAGTAGACGTAATGGCAGAGGGGCTGACTGGGCTGTCACTGTACCAGACAGGTGTTAGGCTCTGGTAGATGATTTCCCAGCATACCGTTAAAAGCCAAAATCTCATCCCTTCTCAGGCTTCCTGCCTTGTAAGGATGGGGCAAAACTGACAGTTTTGGCCATCCTCTTTGTTTCCTCTTTCAGAAACAAGGTGTTCTCCACAGCACTGAGAAAAGCTCCCTGATGAGCTGAAAAACCAAGCATGCGTTTCCCATTCTCTTTCCTCATTTTTTATTTGAGCCTAATGATTAATAGAAGCCATAACAATGATTTTTATAAGACCAATATATCTTCTAATTGTTTTAAAAGATGTTACAGATAGTTATAAGTAACATGCTTTCTTCTTGAATTCCTTATGTCTCTAGTATTTGAATAATAAATAATTACTCTAATAATTTAGTAAGCATTAATAAAAACGACTTACTCTTTCATATTAATATTTTATATGATCTTTATAATTTTATGTATGATGGTATAAATAGTGATCAAGTAAACCTGAGTTCTAGAACAAAGCTGAGACTCACACTCATACAGATGAGTGTATGTATGTACTTGTGTGCAGCATGCTGAGGACAAGAGGTTAGGATGGTAGGTCTCTACGCACATAAAAAGGTTTCCTCGGGTTTTCAATGTTTGGCAGCTCTAAGCAGCCTTGGATTCAAGTAAGTTGATGAATGCTTGGCTGGTGAGTCTCAGGAGGCTGGTGAAGAACATGGCTGTTAGTGACATGCAGGTTTTCTGCTTGCACGCATGAAATGTGTTTTAATTGTGAGGATTCCAGAAGAAACAGATGGAAAACCACAATTAAAGGCAAACAAATATGCACACGTAAATGCAAAAACATTTCCTAAGGATGAGATGAACTACAATAAAATCATGTCTTCAGCTAGTACAAATCTAGGTAGCATCAGTGACTTCACCACTAATATCACTGAAAGATCTGGGCCGTAAAAAGGGTTTTGAAGCTCAATTTACAGCAAAGAAAACCCTAATGGAGTGCTGATGTGTGTGAGATAAATTGATTGCCTGTTTTCTATCCACCCACCCATCACAATTGAATCAGTGGTATAAACAAGTTACTCATTTTTCAAAAGTCAAACATATAGTGTAGAAGAGATTATCTAATATAGAGTAAGGGGGGAGGGGGAAGGAAGGAAAGAAAAGGCGAACAATGGAGCAATCTCTGTTTCCATTTAGTCTGGTGCAACTCCATTGCTCTGCCTGCATTTACACCAATGTAGTTCAGGTCAGCATTCACTTCGTGTCCTGGAGATTGAATTTATCTCCCACAGCTTTTGTTTCGGTTCCCTTCCTGAGCTGCATGCTGTTGTGCCTCTTTCTTCTTTTAATAATTTGCTTCACAATAACACTTTAGAGGCATACCAACTAAAATGAGGGAAAAAAGAGAGAGAGCAGCACTCATAATTGAAGCATATTTTTCCTCTCACTTCTGAGATTTTCATGCTGTTACTAGAAATGTAACTCAGACTAATTTTGATAACAATGATGCCTGTTTAATTAGAGAACAGGGGATTCTCCTTTGAAACAGGATTTCAATAACAGTTTCACCTGTTATTTGTCCTTCTCTGTGCTCAGTAAGTTTGTGATACTTTAATTGCTAACAAGTGAAGGACAAGTGGAGTGTTTTTATTGAGAGTGATCTTTACCTACTTGCTGCATACATTAAATGTTTTTGTTTTCAATGGCTGTATTTGAAGTGAATCACAGATCAGAGGAACAAGTAATTATTTCAGGTATTACACAGTGATTCAGCCCTAGGAAACTCTTGCCTGAATGAGGAGTTGGGAGAGTTTTATAATTATTTTTTCCAGCACATTATTTTTACGGAAATATTTATAATTAATTGCATTTTTTTTTTAAATTGTCTCCAATTAGATGTTTACCCAACTACTGTGAACACGGAGGAAAATGCTCACAGTCCTGGACCACCTTTTACTGTGATTGTAATGATACAGGATACATAGGAGCTACCTGTCACAACTGTAAGTAAACCCACACAGGCAGTGTCTTCTGCTATAGCTGGTATATCAAGGTGCACATAAACTAGAGAGGAGCTCTGTGAGAGAGGTCATATCTTATTATAGGATGTAGCATGTCCTGGCATGATTCGAACAGGTCAAGAATTGGACTGGAAAAGCGCAGAAATCTGTTTGCAAATATGCCTGTTTCTTGACAAATATTTTTGAGAAAACAAAACCAGATTATTTTAACTAATTGTCCACATTTCTTTTTCTCACACTATACATTGATTTGGAGAATCTTAAATTCATTTGTTACATATGCATCATAGACATATTGGTCATTAGATATTTAGTCGAAATTAGCTGGACTGAGATGGGTGATTTTGATCTGTGTTTGGCGCTGTATATCAATTTTGGTACCATGGGCTTTGTTTTTCGATTATCCGAAAGTTCATGTTGCAAAAACACAGTTGTCAACAGTTTATCATTTTGGAATTTTGCTGAACTGTTATTTAGGCTGCTACTATTAGCAAGGATAGAGTATCTGAAACAGTGGCAGCACATGAAGCATTCAGCTACTGAAATCCACTGCAAAAGGAATGTTAAGGTGTTTTAAAGGTTTACAAAAAAAAAAAAAGGCATCAAACAATAGAGGCACAGCCTGCTGGGAATTCTAGTGAAAAATAGAGAGAGAAAGGGGAAGCCAAAATAAAGCCTGTTAATACAGCTGACTAAAAGGGAAAACAGTCAGAAAATGAAGGTAAACTTCCTGTTCTATCACTGGGAATAAAGAGAAAAAAAGAGTGAGTAAGAATAACAATTCCAGGAACACAACTATGACCACACCAGGTGTTTGATGAGCACTTGGACCACAGATAGGAAGAGATTGGTGAGAGATGCATTTTTTCCCCTGTTAAGTGAAAAACAGAAGAGAAGAAAAGGTACTTTGTGGTTTGAAGCTGAGAATCTTGGCAATCGTGCTGTAATTCTGGACACTTTAATGGTTTGCTAATTAACGGTGAAGTCATTTGTGGTGTGAGGTCTGCAGCTGATGGGAGAGGCTGTTGAGAGGTCTATTCATAGATTTGTCACCTGAACTCTGCGTTGTAAGCATGAAGGAAGCTAAGGGTTTGATGCAGAAATCGTGCCAAGCCAGATGAAGGATGGGAAGAAAAATGCTGAGTTTATAGTTTTGAAAAGAGGTTTTACTTTTTGTTCAATGTTTCTGTCATTCCAAAAAACATCACCCCTCTTAAGAACCTCACCCAGCGTACATGTAGTGATTGAGGCCATAGCAGAGTATTTACACCAGATGATGGTTGGTACAAAACTAGGTGGCCAAATCAGCTGGTGAGAAGATAGAGTCTCCTTGGGGAAGGAAGATACCTGTCCCTATTCACTGTCAAAGGCGATTAGGGACGCTAACCTCTAGGCTACATTGGCACTGTCGTATTAGCTCAGGGCCCGAGGCTCACTAAGTCTGTGCTGGCTCGGTGTGGCTTGTGTCTGAAGGAGACCATCTCACTACAGCAGAAGACTGGCTCGTAACTAGTTATTTAAGATTCTCTGATGTAAAAACTATTTTGAAAAGTTTCTCAGGAAGAGCTTGTGTTAAGACTTCCCAGCAGATCAAACTGTGCACACATGTGGCACCCAGCTATTCAGCTGCTCAGCATATTTACAACCATATTACCAGCAGCTAATTTGATTCTAGCTAGATCGTAGAGCCAGCTGCCCTGTAAGGTAAGCAATGCCGATCAACGGCAACGTTAATCTGGAGAAATGCATTCATGTGCTTGAAATGTGCGATGAAACCATTTTAAAGCCAGTGGGCAAACGCAGGCTGTTGATAAGAAACCTGCAGAACAAGAGACGTTATCACTTTCAGCTGATAGTGCTTGACGTACAGGAGTACCTTGTAGCAGGTGAATGAAAGCCACAGATCTGATCACAGCATAACTCCAGAATATCCTCAATGTACAGGCAACTCTCCCAATCATGTAATTCAGTGTAGTTCTATCAAAGTAAAACATCTAATTTCTTAAGGTTTGAAACATTATCTCAACAGATTTTGATTTTTTACTAGAACACTGAGGCTGACAGGGCTGATATTGAACATTGAACTTGTACCACTTTGGAAAGGCTATTTCTTTATTAAATTGCCCTTCAGACACCCAAGTCCATGCAGCAACAGTGGAAAGATTTAACTGGTAATCTGCTGCAAGTCGAACTTAGTGTGAACAGTTTCAATGTCAGCTAGATTTCTTGTCTGGGTTGCGTCAATGTGTTTTTTGCCTCTTTTTTGTGTGGTGTTTGTAAAAGGTGGATGCCACTGATTGAACAACATAAAAAGACCCATTCCTTTCCATACATTCAGGATGAACTGCATGATGTGCTTTTGCAAACCAGAATTTATTGATTTATGTTTGACCAACTCAGACTGGGAGAGTGTACCATTTTAAGAACTGAGATCTGAAGATACATTGTCCCTAACTTACTGTCATCATCTGTAAAGTGTTGAAATACATTTTGTGGTTGATACATAAGCAATCTTAATGATTTCTTCCAAATATTCATGGACTACACTGGATCTCTCTGTGAAGAGCAGCTAACAGTACAGACTATCCCTGCTCCATAGAGTTTGCAGTTAAGTTTCTGAGGGGGAAAAACACATTGGCACAGGTGCTGGAGTGCCAGAAAGTCTTCATCAGCATCATAGGTGGCAGTTTCAGTCTACCAGGTGTGTAATTATTGCTAGGCTTTCTTGTAGGCAAAAAGTCATGAGATAGAGTTTAAGAAGAGGGAGAAATTGAATGCTCACAGGCATGAAGGAGTGACATGCGAAAAAGCAATAATGTGTTTGTTTGAAAAACATAAGGCTGTGGCCAGAGGAGTTTGACATTTTTGACAGGGCAAATGCCAGAGTTATGACAGGTAGATAGGTTGGAGATATGCTGTGAAAAGCAAAGATGAATAGTTTGTATTTGATGCAACAGAGGGGAAGTAGACAGTGGCAGGGCAGAACACTAAGTTGATAGAAGACACAGCTTGGACAAAGTTTGCATGACCATGTCAGATCTGTGGAACAAGATTATGTCTGTTGTGACTAAAAATGGATATAGCTGAAATTTGAGACGTGTAGATGAAGCAAAAACGCGCATCTAAAGATGCACATAAAGAGTGAGCTGGGTCTAGACATGGCCTTAATATAGTCTTCTTAGAGGCAGTCAATTTTCTGCAAACCTCAGGTATCCTCCTACACACTCAAAAATCCCTTCTGATCCTGAAAGCTCCTAAACTGTCACAGGAGGTGTGGCAATCTGTCTCATCCAGATGAGGGTCCACTACTGAAAGATTGTGGGGTCATGTCCCATTAAATAGCTGTTCTGTGGCAGACAAGTTTCATGCTGAAGTCTCATCTGGTCCTGTTTGTGTTCTCCTTCTTCTCTGAACTTAGCTGTAAATACAAGTAAAATAGTGCTAAAACCCATTGGTGTTTTCTGGGTTTCAGTAACATATGGGAAGAGTCTAAATATTTTCTAAACAGGTTGTTTCTTTCTTGCAAAGCTTATTGCCTGATGCATAAATCTATTTCAGTGTTTAGTAACAGTTAATCCTCCTTCACAAGCTGCCACATGTGGAATATTAGCAATACCTTCTAAGTTTTTTTGGAGGTTTTTTGCTGGTTTTGGTTTTTTTGTGGTTTTTTTTTTTTTCTTCCAATGGGGAAAGAAGATTTGGATTTACCTCACCATTCCAGCTTCCAGTGCAATTCACATCCTCTTGCTGGCTAGTCACAGCACTGATTAGCAATTGTGTTTTCATTTCTGTACTGTCTGTAGCTGTGAAACTCCAAATCATATGCTAGTGCCTTGCTGTCACAAATGCATGTGGACGTGCAATTTGATGGGAAATGTAAAACTTGGGCTGACTGTCTCTGGGTACCCATTTCACTGCCCTCCCTTTGAGGCAACTAGGAGTCATGGTACAACCCTGTAGGATATTAAGCCAACAGTAGATGAGTTACATTTGCTCATGTGTGAGTTTTATTGTGCCTTAGTTTCTCCACCTCTGTTGGGAATAAGATCTAATTTGCAGGTATATTAGAAAGTGTGTGATCTATACCGTCTACCGAAATGGTATGGATTCTTTCCTTTGAAAGGGCTGTTTGCTTACTGCTCCTTGAGCTGCTCTGTAGCTAAGACAGTGCTTTGAGGATACAATCTTATTTTGAGTCTATAAAATGCATGGGTTTGCTTTTTGGTTTATCTTTTAAATGTGCTTCACACAGCTTGCATTTAAATAAGTTGGAAGATTAGCTCAGCTGAAGCCTTTTTAACAATGTATACTTTCCTCATTTCTGCAGTATGGTGGGTAGCCTACTGATTCATAGGTATTGGAGTAGTCTGATATAACCCAGATAGATAGGAGAGAATCCTTTACATAATCACGTGTGAACCATAGCAAAATAGATGTGTGCAAGCATGTGATGTTTGTTTTCTGTTCTCCGCTTTTAGATAGAAATACTGATTTACGTAGCTTGGGGAAAAGGCTTGGGTGGGATTCAGCTCGTCTCTTTTTTGCTGTCTGATACTGTGACATCTAATGTAAGATAGTGGTCTACTCTCTCTATATATATATGTAACAGTGTGAGCTATTTTCAGAACTTGACTAATCTCACTGCGAGATAGGGTGTCCATGGTAAGTTCATGGCCCACCTCTGAAACATGTCAGTGTTTGTCATCTACAGAGGGAGACTGTCTTATCTTAGACGTACAGTAGGCAACTGAAGCTAGATCAGAATTATAGGTGGAGTGGGGAAGAGAGAGAGAAACAGAGGGAGAGGAATTACAGATGTATATATACAAAATATTTTAAATTGAAAGGTCATAGTTTAAAGCCCGCATAGTTATCTCTCTCATACTATTAATTCTCCTTATAATTATCATGTGATAGTGAAAGCAGTAGACCAGTGTAAAATGGCCCTGAGATACAGAATGTTATAACTTTATTGCAAGGTA